AAGGAAAACAGTTTCAAAACAACACAACACAACACAACACAGTATTCTCATAGTGTTTGAGGCATGTTTCCAAACTAATTTTGGAACTAAACCCTCTTATTTTTCTATAGTGTTATCAGAGATAAATCAGAGAAACTTTGGATACTTGAATTACTGATCTTTCTTTTGCTCTAGCATAATTAAAAGGAGAGGGAAATTATTTTTCTCAGTGTTTTGTCTTCCCTGAAGGTCAACATTTAGTTACTATAGAGATGACACGTCGCTAAGACACCTACATGGTCTGAATATACAGGAAGCCAATATGTCAACACAGAGACACACTGTTCCCTGGTACCAGGTGAATGGTCTTAGGCAAAGTTCATTATTCTAAGCCTCAGTTTTCTCATGGGCAAAAGAGGAAGAATAATATCAACTTCACTGGGGTTAACAGAATTAAATGAGATTAATATTTAAAGTTCCTAGGAAACTATCTGGCACAACACAGACTCTCAATAAAGGTAGGCTTTTTAAGTCATATTTTTCTGTATTTTAAACTATATGTTGGAGTAAAGATGGCTGGTTGCCTACCTTTCTTTCTTAGGAAAAAGTTTTGTTCTGGATGGCAAAGTGCCCAGCTGAAAGATAAAGTTTTCCAGCTTTCCCTGTAGCTATAGAAGAGTCAGAGATATGTGAGCAGACATTTTTTGTGGGCCTATGGAAAAGTGATTTTAATAAATGAAAGAAAGCTGTCATGGCCTTGTCTTCTCCCTTCCCTCTTCCTCCTGCTTTCTGACTGGAACATGGTTGTGAGGGCTGGGCTCCAGCAGCCATATTAGGCTGAGGAGTACCCTTGAGGATGGAAGCCCAGTGCTGTGGATAATGGAACAGAGAGCAGATGGTGCCTGGATCTCTGATGAGTGACACCATGGAACTGTCATACTTGCTCTGAACCACACGTCTCACTTCTTCTATATGATGAGATAAACACTTCTATCTCATTGAAGTCATTGCTATTTTCTGTCCTCATTACTAGCAGTCAATGCAATTTCTAATCTACACACGTTATTTCACAATTAGGCAATTCTGAGCTTGGGAGATAGCTTCTAATACAGTTTAAATAATTTTATCAAGAAAGGCAATAGTGCATCTAATTATTAATGGTATCTTAAAAATGAATAAAGCAGAATATTATTTTTCCAAGTTAGGTAAGACTTTAAAAAATGTATTTACTAATTAGGATTAGTTAAGGAAAAAGAAATTGCTTTGTAATTTAATCACCATATAGTTTTATAGTCTCGCTTCTTTTGGGGAAACATACAGAACTTATAGACAGTAGGTGTCCAGGAAAAATTTGTTGAATTCATTTAACAGTGACCTTCTAAAGTCATTTGTGAAGTATATTTTCAAGGTTTTATGACTAATGAATTTGTTTCTAATAGTTTTAATTTTACTTGTTAGTAAAGTTAAAAGATTTATGACAATTATTTTTATAGATAAAATTTTCTTGTGGACTTTCTATATTTCTACTTTTTTTTTTAAAAAATATATCTTTATTGATTTCAGAGAGAGGAAAGGAGAGGGAGAGAGAGACAGAAACATCAATGATGAGAGAGTCATTGATCGAGCCCGCAACCCGGGCATGTGCCCTGACCGGGAATTGAACCCGATCGCCTGGATCCCAGGTCGACGCTCAACCGCTGAGCCAAGCCCGGCCGGGCTATATTTCTACTTTTGAAAATATGTAAATAATGGAAAATAGATATTGAACACATGGGTTTAAAATGCAGTGCGTATGTGAAAGTTAGCTGGCGTACATACTGAATCCTGATACTAAGAGGGACCATGCAATTCAAGACATACGGGCTTTCGCATGAGACACAGAAAATCAAATACTAAAAAATAATAAATGTTAGTACGAAATAGAGAAAAGAACAAAAAGTCCTTTCCTCCTCCTACTAAGGCAACAGCCTCTCATCCTGGTGATTTATACTAAACTCAGATGCCAGTGATTTATGTCAGAGCCTGAAGGAAGTACAAAGTTATCTTGATCTGACACCGAGAAAATTAATTTCAAAGATTCTTTCCTTTTGTGCCTCGTTCAGATTCAGGTTCAGATTCAACTGATACTGTCTTTCACACCTATGTCCTAGGCTCTGCTTTCACACACGGTATCTGGCTCCCACCCACAGCCCCTCTGCGAGGTGACTCCTACTAACTCCCTACCCCATGCTGGGGAGGAGGAGCCTGGGCCCTGCTGAGAGGCGATTGAGCTGGGACTCAAGTTCTTCAGAGTCCCAATCCACAGCTATTTTCACTCTTCATAGCTCCTTAAATGACTTTACCATATTTTCACACTCCAACAGGTCATGTGCCTCTCATATATGAACTTTAAGAGCCTTTAATGATTTAACCCACATACCCTGACAGGTCACAAGGGAGTCCTGCTCTCGGAATCTCCTGAATGATCTGGCATCCAACAGTTGGGCTCTTTGGAGGCAGGGAGCAAATAAATAAGTTTTCCCAAAAAAATAACAATTCTCTAGAAAAGTAAAGAGTCATTTATCTTATCTAATGTCTTTATAAGTAAAGGTGACTGTCCCCTCAAAAAGGCCATTTTTAAAATGTCCCCAGAGCACATTATCATTCATGTCAGTGGTGGTTTTATACACTCAACTGTGGTATTTGATTGGTTACTTTGTTTGAGATGCCAGGTCTGAAGAATAGGTCAGGACATCTTAGGAGTGTCTCAAGGTCCTTCAGGAAGTGCGATGCAAGCTTTTTCCCCCTCCATCCTTATTTCCAAAAGGACTCAATGCCTTGAAATCTAAGTAGCGAGCTAGTCACGTTTGACATCTGTGCACACTCTCTGCCACCTTTTCTCACGCATTGGCCTCCCTGTTCTATCTAGTAAAGCACTGTGGCTGCACAGAACCTACAGGATCTGCTGTGCAGGGAAGGAGGCGAGCACTGCCTGAAGCCCTGAGAGATAAGCAGAGAAGGGAATATACCCATTTATACAAAGTGGGATTCATAACAGCCTTCCCCATAAGATACAAGGACAATCACACATCATCAACATAGCAAACAAACAAGCAAACCCCAGTGGAGAAAAGGTACGAAGCTCCACTTGATTACATAATGCCCCTAGAAGCCTGGTTTGAAGTGTAGTTAGCATTTATATAAGCCTCACAATATTTCAAGAGTAACAGTGAGATTATGGGCAGTACCAGGGTGCCCAGCAAATCCTGAGCACAGACTGGGAGAGCGGGACAGAGTTCCCCACTTTGCCTTTGGGTAACATAGGGACACCATCCCAGACCAGCGGGTATTTATGGTCTCCAGAAGGAAATTTCTGGTGGATAATCTCTCTCACTCAGTATCAGAAATTCCAAACTCCTTCCTGCTGCAGAAAATCAGCCTACTTTCTCTTAAGCAGCTTCTCATTACCCCTTTATTCCTTCCTGCTTCCAGTAGCCCCCACCTGTCTCCTGCCCCCAAAGCCTTCCTGCCCTATTCAAATTCCAGTTTCTAGGTTTCCAGCTCTGGTGCTTCAGGTGTGCGTTCTGCAATGTAACTTCAGTCACCCTGCTAGAAGCAGCTCTCTTGCATCTCTCAGTAGAGTGGAATTCTCTAATTCCTTGAGGTCAGGAACTGTATCGTACATTTCCCTAGCCTCCGCAGGGCTTTGACGATGGTATATGTTTAGGAAGTCCTATTTCAGGATCTGGTTTCTCCCTACTTTAGCTAAGTATATTTATTCATTAATTCCTTCATTACACATTTGTTGAGCGCCTACTGGGAGCCGGAGAAGTGGGGAGGAAAGCCCTAGTAGCCGTCCACATTTTCTGATCAATTCCTAGTTTCGCAGCCGTTACTTTCTGTGGCTGGGGGCGGCTCAGGGGCCCTCCGTATTCACAGTTACACTGAGGTAGAACATTATCGAAACTACAAGGCTCGAAACGGAAAGAGAGGAAAACGCTTCGTGTTCTTCGGACCTTAGCCACATGATCCCTTCTTATTCTGGGCGATGTACGATGGGGCCGGGGTGAGGGAGGGTAGAAAAATGAAAAGAGAAAATCATGATGCTTGTGCACGAGGACTGATCTGCAAGGATGTTCACCCGGGTGTTATTTAAATCAGAACAGAGAATTAGAAACGTTCTAATTAGGTAGGTCGTGCGACAGAGAAATATCCACACCTGTGAGGAAATGTATTAAAAATACGGGTTACAGAACAGTTGATGTTTATAATCGGTTGCTGTTCTTATTTTAAAAAAATCCACTGGGGGAAAGTCTAGAAAGATAAACTTCAAAGTATTAATGGTGACTATACCCAAGGGATGGAGTTACAAATGATTTTCTTCTTTGAGTGTATAAGCATTTTACAATTTTTCTAAAAATGATCCTGGATACATTTTAAGTCAGGAAAAAAAGCAATTAAATTTTTTTTTAAGGGAAAAGGAGACCAGGACAAGAATCCCCCAGAACAGGTGAGTTTTTTGACAAAATGCACCCTCACTCTCAGTGCTCTGGCCTTTGATCCTTGCTCCTTGAGGAAGCCCACTGTGCAGGCCGCTCCCCCGCTCGCCCAATAAAGAAGATAGCGGTGCGCGTGCATGCTGATCTGTTTTCCAGCGTCTGTCTCTTCAAATAGATGTATGTAGCTGAATGAACAGGGGTCACATATTTCCCCCCTCACAAAACACTGCATTGTCAAACAAGTCACAAACTGCTATGAATCCTAGTTGTACTATAAGTTAAACCAAATTCTAAAAAACCAAGCAAACAGAAAAACCAATCCAGAAGTGAAGCCCTTTCCCAACTGACTACATTAAAAAAACCCCTAAGTATTTAGAGGAGAGGACACCTGTTTGGATGGATGGAAGGGGGACTGAAAGGTAAAGAAGAAAGATATGGAGATGTGCCCACATCTCACAATGAGGGTGCCAGCCGGGCACCGTGCTGGGATAGGCAGGCTCACCGGGGCCGGGGGACAGAGGGTTGTCTGCCCAGATGCCATACCTTGGTCTGGAACGTACAGAACATGTGTGTCAGGAACGGATGCTCCCAGGCCAAGGAGAGAACTCTCTTCTCTACCATTGTGCACTCAACGTCGTCATCCATCAGAACCACATCCTTCTTTAGGGCTTTTATTGCGAAAAATTGGTTGGTTTTCTTGAACTCTGCTAGGAAGACCTAGAAGGAAGGGGAAGAGGCAACTTCCCTTTAGAATTTGGAGTCACACTCATTCAGGAAGGGACAGGCTGTGAGAGATGTTGGGTGACGAAGGCGTCTTCCTGCTCCAACCCCCTTCATCTCCTTTATGCAGACAAAATAGAACACTTCACTGGTTTAGGATGTCACCTGACAGTTTCATACTCTCTTCGTACCTTTCCAAGGGTTTCACAAAAACAACTGTGCAACTGGATAGGTTATTCTCAGTTCCTGTCTGCCCAGGGACCTGAGTAAGTTTATAATAAAAATCCACAGAGACAAATGTGTACTGATCGAAGCAGCAGCGAGTAGTGGAGAGGCGGACACGATTTGTACTCTAAACATCACTGCAAATGATAATAAAACCTTCTCCAAGAATTACTCAGTTTTTCAAGGCCAAAAAGAATCCATGAGGGATAGAGCTCTCCTTGTGTGCTTGAAGAAGGTACATCATCTGACCTGATGGCACAACAACCAATCCCATTTTTGGGACCTACTATGCATCAGGCATTCTGCTTTGTACTTTCCATGTGCTACCTCATTTTATTATCTTTTAATTCTTAGCTGAGAACACTCTGCAAGACAGACAGGAATAATAATAATAAAAAAACTGGGTTCAAAGAGTAACTTAAGTTTCTCAGATTTGTGGAGCTACTCAGTGGAAAATCTAACTCTGGAGTTTACTTTTCCCACTTGGTGTCGTGAATCACACATGAAAGGACACCAGATGGCACCTAATGGAGAGTTTCTGCAGCTCTCGCCTTTGTAAGCGATGCAGCAACAGCCGACTAGCAGTTGGGAGGACATGGCATTTGGAGACAGAAAACTCCAGCTTGGGGCTCATTTCACAGACATTTACTAGCTGTGGGAATGTGGGCAAACCAGTTAACCTCTCTGGGCTTCAGTCTCCTAATGTGTAAAGAGAGAACTGTCACCATATTCTCTAGCTTATAGGACCACTGTGAAAATCAAATGAGACACCACATGGGAAAGTGATTCGTGAACTATAAAATGCTCTCTAAATGACAGATGCTAAGGATACTTGTCATTTGTTTCTTTTAGTGACTTTTAGGGAGAGTTGAAGTCAATGCTGCTAAACCAGAAATGAAAATGCATGTGTCTATGTTTAAAATAATATAGTGCAGATATATAGCTTTGGGATAGCTGGCTTGATGGAGGGGAAAGAGCTTAGATGAGAATTCTGGCAAATGAGTACAGTGCATAGCTCCAGAAAACCTACAGTTTGTTCTCCTGGGCCTAAAAGCAGATACAGAACAAGAATGTAGAAGCTACTATTTTGGTGAGGAGCCATACTTCCTATATAGAGCACAAAGAAAGAAGAACAAGTTCTGGCATATTCTCAGTGTTGTCCTGTGTTGCTTTGATGCTTGTTCTCCTCTAGATGGGTCCCACCATGCAGTCCTCCCAGAGTGTAGGGGCCCTGGGTGCTGATGGCAAGGACACAAAGCAGACGATATCTGAAGCTCTCACTTGTCCCTTGGGATATTCACTAAGGCCTATAGGTTCAACTTAATGTCTTTCTTATTAACCATGTTCAAGTGAAACAATCCACACAGGAATAAAGAAAGATAAACATTTCATTCACAATTAAAATGACTTTTTTGGTAATTGCTTCTTTCAATAAAACATCCCAAAACCAGCCATAAAGTAAGAAGCTGGAAAGGTAATTTTCATCTCTATAACATGCTTTCAATTTTTGGTAACAGGTTATGATTGCACATTAATTGATGCTAAATTACAGTGAAGACTGGCTGTAAAATTGCCTATTACACTCAGATTAACACCAAATGAGCCTGCTGTGGTTCAGATGATTGTGGAAATGAACTAAGAGAATTAATGGATATCAGCTATAGTTTGCAGGGCAGGGTAGATTTTACCAAAGGTGAAGAATGGCTGTTTAAATCCAAACTCCAATTGCAGCACAGTGTCATCCAACTGTGACAATAAATTAGTTTGTTTATTATTAAATAAACTGGGTGAGTTTTCCAGCCAAAGTCTGGTGAGCAGGTGCTGAGCATAATGCTGGCTTTGGATGCACAAATTCATGGAACAGCAGTCTCTGGCTAAAATTTTCATGGGCGTGAATCCAAGAATGTAAAAAATGGATACATTAGATATCCTTAATATCGAAAAGAACCTAAAATCCTATATTCCATGTCATCCCTCTTTATAATCGCTGGTTTGTAAATATTCTCCCATCATTGCTAATTGATTGTAATTTCTTAAATTATGTCTTCCCCCTTTCCTTTTCCTCTATAACTGACAGAGATGGCCCATAACCCAAGTGTGTTGCAGGAAGAATTTAGAGGAGGCATTTTCTCCATAAAGCTTTCCCAGGACTCTCAAGCTACAGCTGTGTTATGGGCTGAATTGTATACCTTCCAAAAATTTCATACGTTGAAGTCCTAACTCCCACAACTTCAGAATGCCACTGTATTTGGAGACAGGGTCATTACAGAGGTGATTAGGTTAAAAGGAGGTCATTGAGGTGGGACCTAATCTAATATGACTGATATCCTCATAAGAAGGGGAGAGTAGGACACAGACATGAACAAAGGGATGACCATGAGAGGACACAGGGAGAAGAGGCATCTATAAGCTGAGTACAGAGGCTTAGGAGAAACAACCCTGCTGACACCTTGCTCTGGGACTTCCAGCCTCCAGCACTGTGAGGAATTGTTGAAGCAGCCAGTCTGTGGTATTTGGTCACAGTAGCTCTAGCCAACTGACACCAATCAAACAAAAAACTGGTGTGAAACAGGAACTGGCTGAAGCATCTTCTTATTTCTGAGGTTTCCAAAGATCAAACTCATAAGCTGGGGGATGGATGCTTTTGAAGCAAAATGGCTTGGGAACAACAATTCCCAGGAGGCAGAGGCTGCTTTTCCTTAGAGCCCCTGGGTCCCTATTTATTCAGACATCTCTAATCTGTCACAAAATGCTCAGGAATGCACTCTCTGCACACTCACCCACAGTTCTGATCCCAAGAGTTTGGTTCTCCTGACCAGGAGCTTTGTGCTTCAATTTTTAGACATTGGTCTGTGGGATTCTGTAGTATGATATCATACCTTGCCAAAACTTCCTTTCCCCAACATTTTGTGCAAGATAAAATCCTCAATTTTTAATTTCATATGTAAAGATGGTCTTTCTACGTTCAGTTCAGGTTCTGGACGATGGCACATTTTCTCCATCTCATCCAAGGGAGACTCCCAGGAGATTCCTTGTGGCTCTGAAAATGGCAACCAGTGGTTAAAAGGAAACAAGAAACAGTGGAGGGTTATTCTAGCTACTTGGAGAACATACTTTCTTTTCCACTCTTCCATTCTAGGATACATCTGCAATAATGCAGAAAGGGGTTCCTGCTGTGCCTGGTGGTACCTCTGGCCTGTGAGCCTGGCACTGGGGCATGGACTGGGTGTCTTTATCTACCTAACATATTGGGGGAAATTTCAAGTGGAGAAGCAATCCAATCAGCAAAGGCCTGTACAGTACATGCAACACAAATGAGCACTTTCAGTGATTGTCAAATCATGGACAAATAGGGATCTTAACCAAATTAGAGGAAAAATTATCCTCAATTGCTTGTTTGGCTCACAGGCACAGTGGCATCAATTTCTATAATTTACCAGGGGAGGGAAGAGAAAATGGATTGCAGACTGTTAAAGATCCGAATTGCATCATCTGTCACAGTCTTTAAGTCAACGTGTACCTACTTCGATCATCTCTGAGACACTATCTACTTCTCTGCTTGGATGCCCTTCCCAACTCTAACCCAAACCTTTCTTTAAAAAATTCTAAATCTATCTATTCCTCACTCCATGCCAGAGGAGGTGTAGGAAAAACATTTTTGGAAACTTTCCTCTTCCCCCATATATTATTATTTTTTTTTAATTGAAAATACTTGACATATCACACTGTGTTAATTTAAGATGTACAATATGTTGATTTGATACATTTACATATTGTGATATGATTGCCATTGTAGCGATGGATGGTACCACCGTCACATCACGTAATTATCATTTTGTCTTTTGTGGTTGGAATAATGACATTTATTTTTCAATCTCTAGGTTTATCTTTCACATTCTCCCTAAATCCAAGGAAAATAAGTATTTTATAATGTCTGTTGATGCTATTAGGTTCCAGAGTCAGGTGGTCATATCCTCCCATGACTGACCTTCACACAGAAGGCTGGATAAACTTCCATCACATCATAAATGTTACAGATTTTGGGCACTACTCTTCTTCCCCTTTCTACTCTTACACTTCCCAGAACAGTCTCAGAGGGGCAGAATAGGAGGGTCCTCTGAGGTATTCCCACTACTGAGCTTTATGGTGGATTTATTTCTGTAAACCATTTAATAGTGACAGGAAGTAATGTTCTAAGGTTCTAAGGAAAAACTTAGTTGTGTTCTCCAGACTTATCCCATCTTCTCCCTCCTACCCCCAATCCTCCCGCCCTTTCTAAAAGGTTTCCTAATGGGGTGTGTTTTGGTTTCACATCTAAGAAGTAGGAGCTTCTTAGTTGGTGGCTAGGTCTGTAATCTTGAAATAGAAAAGAATCATCTATCAGACCAGGTACATGGAGAACTTATGTACAGAGGACTCAAGTTAAGGTTAATCGAGATAAATTACTGACATTGAATCTATGGGGAGCAGGATAGCTACCTCGTTTCCCCGATGTCAGTACATATGGCAGCCTTGCTTCACCTTTTATGGAGCATGGAGGACCAATTTCAACTGGACCTTCTCTGAAGATGTGTTCAGAATCTCTTAAGCAGCGAGCCTAGATTACAAACAAAGAGTCAGACCACCCACCACTGATGGACAGCTCAGCCTGTCCTTGGGGAAAAAGCCATTTAAGATTGCTAAATGTGTAAGATAACCAAAGCTCTTTCCCTCAGCACTCATTTTGGATTCCATATCCTGTGAGAGTCTGTCTATTGGATTTATGCACCAGCAGAACGTATTCATTTCCTTCATACTTTTCTGGAGGCTAATTGGTTTCTTGCATGCTATCCAAGAGAAGGTCAATGGATAGAAAAACAGCATTGCCAAATCCTACAGAGGGTTTGTTCTTGGACATGCAAATTACACATGCTAGTAAATGGCAAGGCAGAAGTTGCCCCGGACTCAGTGTTTTGAGAGTATTCTAGGGACGATTCTAGCATATAAGTGTATTCTCTCAGGCTATTAAATAGCCCTAGTGTATGGGTATAAAGCTGGCAATGAATCCTCAATAATTTTAATGAATTTATTTGTTTCTGTCCCTGCTCATTCTGTGAATTTAAGATCTTGCAAAGATCCATACACTACAAATGCATTAAATAAATATCTCAAAGGGGGCATATGAACATGAAGATGAAAGGGGAAAGGCAAGTGCTCAGAAATAGGCTCCATGTTGTCCCACATAGTTGCTACAGATCAGAGAGCAAAGGGACTGGAGTAGTCCTGGTTGAGCTGAAAGTGCAGGAACTTGTCACCTACCTGTTGAGTGCTCTCAATCATTGCCAGTGCTTCAGCCATTAGCTTCTGGTTTATGCCACATAGGTTGGCCACCTTTGTCTGGCATCGGTGATGCACATTCATGCCACATGCTGAAAGGGGGACAGTGACATCATGAGCCAGGGCAACAGAACCAACTTCCATGGCCTTTGTACATGATCTTCTTTAGGTATAAGTATGTTGAAGGAACAGTTGGCATCCCACATGCCATCTTCCCAGCAGGAGACACTGAACACAAATAAATTAGGACAGTGCTTTATGATGACACTGGGCATCCACCTCCCCTTCCCAAAACAGACACATACAGACCAGGTGGTCCTTGTGTGATGCTGGGAAGTGATCCCCACTAAAGATGGAACCAGGGCTGTGTTGATAGGGGAGGAAGTCTGCTGTTAGTATGCACTTAGACTGTGCCATTGCTGAGAGAAAAAGGCTGGTATTGGCTCTCACTGCTGGTAATGTGCAATGCTAGAATTGAAGGTTGTTCATGCCCACTCTGGACCCTTACCCTAAATCAGAGCCCAGGCATCCCCTTTCCCATACAGGCTGCAAAGAGCTTCTCTAGGCTGAAGTCCAGGATTCAAGTCTGCAGAACTGAAATGCAGATGGTGGTGATGGGGGGTTCTGTGTGTGTGCTTAGGACTGGGGCTTGGAGGAGGGAAAATGGCTGGAGAGCACATTCCCAGCATATGGGAGAGTTAGGCTAACTGAGCTAAACCACCTACATAGGCTTCTAGCTCTGACAGCCACGATCCTGCAGAAGTTTTCTGGTTCATAGTCCTAAAAACAGCACAGCAAGGGTCTGCCCTCCACTTACTGTGACCATGTGAGCCTCCTTGGTTTGGAAGGTGTGCACACCTGTGTGTTTGTGTGAAGACAACCATTATATATCATGTCGTTAGTTTTAGAAAATTAAAATTCTCCTTGCGAAACATCACCATTATTGTGAAAAAAAGAAGTTCACAAAGATTTCAAATCCCAGGTAAAAGAACTCTGATCTGAAGTCCAACTTGATTCTATAAAGGTGTATCAATAGGGACCGTTAAAATGGAATTAGGCAGGAGAAGCTATAAAATCAGGCAGTTTTAATCTTATCTGCTTATTATTAGCCCATTTGTGTGCAAAAAACTTAGCATAGTGATTGGCATCAAATAGGTACTCACTAAATACAACTTTTCTTTCATCTTCATTATGTATTACAATCAAATATATATTGAAAAATTTAGGAGAAATTTTAGCAGCCTTCACCTTTAGTTTTAACTAGTCCACTCTTCCTCAGAGTGTTCATAACCAAACATAATAAAACAGCATTTTCTATGTAAATAAGTATAAAGCTACTACTCGTCCCAGTATAAATGGATAGGTGTAGTCATAAAAATCCATTTGAAGAGCCATGTTTAAGAAAGATGCTGTTTGCAAAGGCTTGCCTCCCTTGAATTCTGCATCCTTAGTGCAGGGAAGCCAGCAATGATGATCTAGCACAAGGGATTGGGCAATTTTACTTTGCTCCTTAAAGCTGTAGCCAGATATAAGCTTGTCTCTGACGTGCAGTTGTGAAGAAAGGCCCCATCCCCGCTACGACGATGTCACGAGTCTTTGTTACTGACCTATTCGGTGATGCGTCAATCTCTGTGAGTGCAAATGGTTCCTTTTGATGTCTATTTTCATGGGAAGTATAGTGGAGAGAGAAAGCAGGCGGGTCAGGATGAAGGGAGGCCCTACTTAGGAAGGTGGCTTATAAGAGAGCAAGACAAAGGGAGTGTGCAGCAAAGACCAGGGAACAAGAGACATAGGGAAGAGGGAGGTGACAAAGATGAGGGCATGAGGTGAGACAGCAGGGACTTTGGGGTGTTGGCAGCAAGAACAGAGGACACATACAGGGGAGGAGAGGGAAGGGAGGAAAGGGGAGAGGAGAGGGGATGAGAGAAAAGAGGGAGGAGGCTACTGGAAGTGCGGGGGGTTAGGGGGGAAAGAGAATGGAATGGAGGAGAAAGAACATTTTAAAAGGACAGAACAAAGCAGGCGTGTGAGCCGTGAAATAATGCCAAGAATCCTCGTGGGAGTTCTAAGCTCAGAGCATAATCACATGCTGGGACCTGCTCGGCCTGGGTAGGTGGGGTGCCCGGGCTCTGGGGAAAGGAAATGTGAAGTGTGACCCTCATAAGAACAGGAGGCCATCAGATGGGACTCTGATTATTCATGTCTTGTGTGTACAATTAGGGTATCTGAGGTTACTTCTTGCCGGTGAACTTGTAAAGATATTCTGTACAGTGCCAGGCCCTCCCGTGCATCTTGAACAGGAGAAGAAAGTATACAGCAGTACTCGTGGGCTACGGAGGGACTGTTCAGGTGAACTTTGACTGCATGTGGGTCTTGCCTTCGGTAATGATTTAAAAACCTACCCCTCCTGCCTCCATTAAGATGTCATGCCAGGCTCCCCAGACACGTGAATGCAATTGGGATGAGGAAGGGGGACGCTGCTGCAGGTGATCTTTCACCTAAAGTCAGCACCTCTGTCACTTAAAAGATAAGGCACGCATTACCCAGTGACATAAAATAAAGTAGGGCTGCCAAGAACAGTGGCTTCTCTAGTTAATAATTCAGGCAGAAGAGTCTCTGCCACAGCAGGAGCCCTCCTTTTTGAACATATCTGGGCCCCATCCCCACCCTCACCCCCCACTCAAAAGGCAGAGCTCTTTGTCATTGCTGTCGGAAGGTTTTCCTCCCTAGCCTCTAGTCTTGGTGTAATAGCATCTCCATTTCTAAAGGTTATTGCCTTGGCAACTTGGAGTTTTAGAGCAGGAAAGCCCTTTTGGCTTTTTCTCAGGGTTGGTCTGAATAAGTTGACCAGTGGAGGCTGCAGGCCCTGGCTCTGCTGGGCTGGCAGCCTTTGGGGAAAGGTCAGAGTCAGAGCTGGGCTCAGCCTCTCCCTGGGCATTTTGAGTGATAGATTCTCCATTCAGCTTAAGTCACAGAATTCTTCTGTCCAGGGCCTTCCACCAGCCAAGCACAGGTGCCAGGCTTGCTCCTTAATGGGACTACAGACAGAACCTCACTGGTGATGCAAAGGAGGGTGAGGGGGCTCCCCAGAAGCTGCCAGAGTCAGGAGCTGGGCCCAGAGAGACAGTGGGTCAGGAGAGGGAAGCCGTCAGTCAGAGGAGAAATGCTGCCTTCATTTCTCCCCAGGACCAGGTACAACAGAGGGCAGCGGGCCAGGAGCCTTGACATTTAACCTGCGTGATTTTGTGCTTGTCTGGGTTCAAGGATTAAGGTGTGTGGGAGGGGCGGTGTAAGAGAAGGAGCGGCAGTGGACTATTGTCTTGGTCATTTCTCGTTCAGGATCATGGAGCTCCTCTAGGCTGCTTGGAGGGATCAGTGGCCACATCTTCCCTCCCCCTGTCCCGCTCTTCATTGAAGCTGTGACTCCCCCTCCTGGAGGTGTTCTGTGGGGGCCCACACTCATTTCCCACCAGACTCACCATCACACTTCAGTCCTTGCCTGGCCAGGCCCCACAGCAGGGTCCCACAGTGCTCGCAGAAGGTTGGGCTTTTGTAATTGTAGACTTTAAATCTATGCGGCATGTCAATTTTGAATCTCTCCTTGTGGAACTGAAAGAAGAGGAGACCACATGATGGTATGTTCCCAGCTTATATGTCTTAGCAGATACTTTAGCATAACTAGCAAAATAATAAAAACATTGGAACGATGCGTATTTTAAACCACAATTTTTACTTGTCAAGTTTTATAGTCTTGTCCAAAGAACTCAGACAGCCATTAGCTCTTTGGGGGTAAGGGGCAAGCATGAGATATACACATATCAAGTAACCCGCAGGTAGACAGCTGCAGTCTGAGGCATTCCCACAGTCTGACTAACTTTTCTGGAAGAGGGGACTAGGTTATTTATTTAGATGAGCTCAGTAAACCTTGCACTTCCTTTGTTATTTTAATACAATATTTCCTTTTCTCTTTCAACTCAGAACTAGTGCTTTAACCTTTGGAAGATGTTATGTAATGACTCCTCTACAGCAACATTGCCATGGGCTTATTAGTGTGAGGGTCTGAAGTGTGAAGCACTTCACACCTGTTATACATAAACTTAGGAGGCCAGAGGTAGCTGATGGTTCTGCCAGGTGTTGTGGACACATATGGCATGTGTGTTATCTTTTACACATGTGATATCTTATGCAATCCTCAAAACACCATTTGAAGTAGCCTCTATTAGTATTCTCATTTGACAGATGAGGCGATTAAGCACTGAGAGGGCGAGACACTTGTCTAGGTCACACAGCCAACTGAGCTGGGATAGCTATAGCCTGGCCATCAGAATCAGCACCTGTCCTCTCTCACTATTACTCTTCTCACTCTTAAAATAAATGTATGCTTTAGGGAATGGGGAGAGGGGAGTGAGAGAGGAATGCTGGTGGTAGATATATTGCAGATTTTTTTTTTTTTATAGAGTTTCCCAGAGTTTAACTCCTCTCCTTGAGGTAATCAAACTTACCTCATGAACAACAGCAAAAAAATCAGGCAGTTTGAATCCTGGCAAGAATAGCAATATTCTTGTGCAGCGTAAAAACTTTTATGTACTTAAGACTTATAATCTCTGCCTAAGTTTAAAAAATTTTTTAAAATATATCTTTATGGATTCAGAAAGAGGAAGGGAGAGGGAGAAAGAGAGTTGAAACATCAATGATGAGAGAGTCATCATTGATCAGCTGCCTCCTGCACGCTCCCGACTGGGGAATCAAGCCCGCAACCCAGGCATGTGCCCTGACCAGGTATCAAACCGTGATCCCCTGAATCCTACGTCAATGCTCAACCACTGAGTCACGCCTGGCCGGGCTTTGCCTAAGATTTTAATTAAACAATTTGTTCGGGAACATGCAAAGTAACGAAGCCATATTCATTAAAGTGATGTAGTTAATGTTCCGGCTTTGGCTATTGGTCAGCTTTGTGTCTTGACAAATGGCTAAAAAGTTGTAAGTTAGAATTGCTTAAAAGTTGCCCAGNCCTGAATCCTACGTCAATGCTCAACCACTGAGTCATGCCTGGCCGGGCTTTGCCTAAGATTTTAATTAAACAATTTGTTTGGGAACATGCAAAATAACGAAGCCATATTCATTAAAGTGATGTAGTTAATGTTCCGGCTTTGGCTATTGGTCAGCTTTGTGTCTTTCCAAATGGCTAAAAAGTTGTAAGTTAGAATTGCTTAAAAGTTGCCCAGCACTTACTCTAGCCATTTTCAACCAAGATAAATAACTTTCCAAACTGACTTTGTATAAGCATTTCCACGTAAATATGAGCAATTAATGTCAAGGTCCGGACTAGAAGGCTTCCACTTTAAATCATGAACCACCCAAATGGTTTATGATATGTTTGGGAAAAGCTGAAGATCTGTACTTTCCACTTTGATAGTTACTTAGCCACATGGGCCAAGTGAATATTTGCAAGGTGATAAAATGCACACTGGCTTTTGAAGACTTTGTATGAAAAAATAATATAAAATATCTCATTAATTTTTATACTGATTATATATTGAAATGATATTATTTGGGCTGATTGGGTTAAATAAGAAATAATCTTAAGAGTAATTTCACCCATTGCTTTTTACTTATTTAATGTGGCTATTTGAAAATTTAAAATTACACTGTGGCTCTCATTCTATTTCTATTGAACACTAAACTTTGAGGTTAACAGTCATGCTTACAGTTTGTGATTCTCCAGGAAAGCTGAGGCATCAAGTAAAGGGAGCAGGAGGGTGAGTTGGGAGGTGGCAATTTGTATTAAGCAAACAAAAACATTGGTCTGGGAGATTGAGATCTGAATTTAAGTCCCAGCTTTGCCACTTAAAGGTGGCTGACCATAGACAAATGACTTTAACCTCTTTGAGCCTTAGTAGAATCACTTTAATATGAGATTATCCCCTTCTAAGTTTTAAAAGAAATTCTACTCTGGAAAAACTCAATCAACTTGCTTTCTCTGTACCTGCCACTTTAATATGAGATTATCCCCCCTCCAAATTTTAAAAGAAAAACTCAATCAATTTGCTTTCTCTGTACCTGCCCCTTTGCTGGAGAAAACCACACCTTCAAATTCAAAGGGACTTCCAACTGTGTTTAGTAATCCTACTGCTTTCCTCTTATCCCTTGCTTTCCCATCTCTAAAATAACCTTTCACAGATCTTTTCTCCTCAAAGCCAGTCATTGCCTTCTTTTCTTCCTTTTTTCAATCCTCAGACTTCATGGAGAATATAAGTTGTCCAAGAGGATTTCCCTTATCTGCCCGCCCCCAAATCTACAAACCTACCTTCATCTGCAACCATCTTTTCCTCCCTTCCTGTTATAATTGATGGGATGTTCATCCATTCATCAGAGACCCTCTCCACATGTGCTTTGGACTTCTTCCCCTCCTGCCAAGACTCACTGCTTTGATTGTCCCTCTCTCCAGCTTCATCCATCTGTCATCGTTCCCTAGCTATGAGAATATTTCCACCCCCTGTGTTTCACCTCTCCCTAGCTACTAATCTACTTCAATGATCACTTTCATGGTTAATCTTCATGATAATATTAAAACATAGGTTGTTTCCATGTTATTTCCATGGTTGTTTCCATCTTTCAGTACTGGCCAATGAAGGGACTGTCTCTCTAAATCCTCTGAAATTTCTCTGATCAAGGGCTTCAAAGATCTCCATGTGGCCCTCATCTTTCTCAACATCTTAACCCACCCTTTCATACACAATTAGAATATAAAGAGCCTTCTCTGAGTTCTTGTTCTCAGTCTCTATCACAAGCTCCTTCTCTTCTACCTAACATCTAATTTTAGATTCCTTTGGGGTTAATATTGACCCTATACTCCCTTCTTCCTATACTCTCTCACTAAGTAATCTCTTTGGCAGCTTCAAATTCTACCCCAGTGATAGTCATTCCCAAATTTATAGATTTGGTCCATTGGCCCATATGAATTCCAAGCTCATATACAATTGTTTGTTTGATAACTCCACTTGGGTGTCCATAGGCATCTCAGACTAACGTTGTCAAAAACTGAAATATTAATTTCTCCCTCCAGAGGTCTCCTTCCAGTCTTATTCACATTCTCATGGTTCTACCATCTACCCCACTGCTCAGGACAGAAACCCAGTCATCATCTCTTTCATTCTCCACATTGTGTCTACTGGCAAATACAGTTGCTTGGAACATCAAAATCACCTAAAAAACCTGCTTACTTTGCTCCGTCTCCACTGTCACCACACTTCTGCCCTGGTGGGACTCCATTCTCTCTGGTTTTTACTTTCACATCTCAACCCACCATTTCCCCTACAGCAGTCACAAACTGGACTTTCCGCTGGGGGGGANTGTCACCACACTTCTGCCCTGGTGGGACTCCATTCTCTCTGGTTTTTACTTTCACATCTCAACCCACCATTTCCCCTAGAGCAGTCACAAACTGGACTTTCCACTGGGGGGGGAAAAATCCAACCTCTTTTCCAGAGTCTGAAGACCCCTAACCCATCCTGCCAAGTTCCTCAACTTCGAGTTCCATTCTTGCCCTTGTTGTTACAGTTATGTGGTTTCATTTCAGTTCCTAGAACATGCTGATTCTTTCCGCCCATGGAGCTTTTCAGCCTGTCTGGGGCTCCTTCCTCCTGCTGTTCACACAGCTGGCTCCTTTCACCCTTCAGCTCTCAGCTTAAGCACCCTTCCCTCAGGAGAGTCCCTGACCTTCAGGCTAAGAGGGCCACTCGGTTTTTCTCCATCATCGCACCTAGTTGGCTATTTTCATGGTACCTAATATAAATGGAAACTATACGTAGTTATTTGTTAATGATCTGTTTCCCCCAGCTTTATGGATAAGTCCACAAAGGCAGGACCACATCTGTTTTGTGCTCTGCTGTACACTGTGCATAGCAGAGTACCTTCCACGTGTCACACACCCAATAAATATTTGTCGAATGAAGAAGGAAAGGGTGGGAGAAGGAAGGCTGCCTGACTTTCTAGCTCAGCTTCCCTCCCCTATGAAGTAAAATCTAACTTGTCCTCCAACTAAATACCTCAAAGTTCATTCTGAAAGAAATATTTGCCTTTTTCCCCCCTTGAGTTTTCTTTATTTTCACCCATTAAAAAAATGAAACATACTATGCAAATATTTTCTGAGAAGATTACACGCAGGGCCATTCAGGCTCAAAGTGCTGCCGACATCCTTGGTCCTGTATTGATTTAGATGCCGTAGCAAGCATCTCTCAGCATGGACGATTCATTTCCCTTTTTCTTAAATTAGGTTAAATGGGGTCACTGTCTATATTTACAGACTTGAAATGTATCAGTCCTGAGCAGTTCTGATGTAGATCTGAGACCAGCTGATGGGAGTCTTGGTCTCAGTTTAAAGAGGGAGGGCCAGTGGGAGGAGGCAACTGCTGGAAACTGCTTGTCATCTTGCCCACCATGAACATTTGCTGCAATGGCACAGTCAGACCCTTCTAGAGGGGTTAAGCCAAGTTACTTAGGCATCCTTATTTGCCTCTTAAAACAAGAATTATATATCTATTATCATCTCTTGCTAACCATGTAAATGCTTATATCTATATCTTATTGTCATTTGACTCTACTCTTTAACTGTCACTTCTAGCTGTAGACACTACAAGAGTTGTTCTCATAATTGATCAAAACTCTGCTTTCTGGCCACTTTCTATTATGTTTTTCTGCAAAAGGTNCTCTTTAACTGTCACTTCTAGCTGTAGACACTACAAGAGTTGTTCTCATATAATTGATCAAAACTCTGCCTTCTGGCCACTTTCTATTATGTTTTTCTGCAAAAGGTAGAGCCCCTAAAATTCTTACTGTGCTTTTTAAATTCACATCCCAATCTTGGATCTCAGTAACAATGATTGAAGAGGAAAGGGTTTTAGGAGATCACTGATAAGCTTCAGGGTTCAAGTTCAGGCATTATTAAAAAGCATTAGTGCGCTGTAAAATTTAATGTCGGGGTAAAGTCGTAATATTTCAGAAAAGACAGAATCTAAATACGCACCATGGTTTCTCGGCTATTGATAGCTGATCCTGTGCACTTGGCTATAACTTTATCGATACACTTCTTGTGAATTGCTGCATTACATTCTGAAAAGAAACAATTGCAACTTCAAATTTTCAGAATTGAAGGAACAACTGAAAAAGAATGATGGCAATAGGACAGAAATCCTTTTTACTTACGTCGACACTGGTAGCCCTGTTTGTTCAGACCCCTGCAACAAAGCACAGCTATGGTTTATATGGACGTTCAAACAGCAGCACCACAAACATCTGAAAGGTGGTGAGATCTCATAGCTTCCTACTATCACAGAGCATTTTCTCATCAGCTGCCTTGGTCTGTCATTTGCCTAGAGTGTTAACATGTGTTTTTCATTTTAACTGCTTTGCTAAAAGTCTGATGATAAAATAAATGAGGAGCTATTATTGACTGCCCTCTCATTTGTATATTTTCCAAACAAACAGGTGGAGGTTAAGAGCCTGACTGAAAATGCATCATGGGCTCCTCCTAGTAGCAATTTCCATGTCCTACACTTAAAAATATCATTATCTCACTAAGCTCAGAATAAATCAGCAAAGACATCTGAACAACATTTCATTTCCTCTTTCTGAGTATCTCTCCTGAGTGACACTCACTAGAAACCAGGAAGAAAGTTCAGGTCATTAGATGAAAACAGGCTGATGGATATCCACCACAAGTCTATTTGATCTTGGATGACCTGCTTAAGCTGGGGTTGCTAATTAATGGATTCTGCAGTCGTCCAAAGGGAAGAACACCCTGTTAGGAAGTGAGCAGCCCAAGACGAGAGATAGGAGTTGTTTCAAGTCTCCATTCTATCAGAGCTTTTGCTATGTGGCTACTGAGGCTTGAACCAATCTCTGTTCGAGGGCTGTTAAAACACCCAAGAGCACTATAAACATCTAAATGCATTAGCTCTAATGGGAAAGTTGTTGCCTGTTGTAGACATTAGTGCTGGCACAGTTGGGCTATCGAAGTGGTAGGAGTTTCAGCTGTAAAACTCTGCTTACAATAAAGATAGCTACCTCCTCTATCCCTCCCTTCCTACCCCAGCAGCCTCCCATTTCATCAGAAACTAAAGTTCTTGGCACATTTTCCTGATGGAGCTGGCTTCCTTGTTCCACAGGAGCCATGGTATGAAATTTTTTATAGAATCACACCCTTTAAACCTTCTCAATCCAGGTGAGGCCACTGAAAACTCTCATATAGTATTTATTCTGGCACACTCCCCTAAGGTGGGGCATACCAGGCCTGGTGGGTTAAAAGGATGTGACAAAATGCGTAACCTAAAGCTTGGAGTGAAATGCCAAGTCACCGTACCAGACGAACTCATGGCAGACAGAGCAGAACGTGGGTTGTGGGAAGAAGGTGGCAGTGAACTCATGGCACTTGACATGATGGACTTTGGCCTGTTTGATGGCTCCTCGACGGTGATGCAAAGCAAAGAAGCCTTCATTCTCAAATTCACTCATGTCCTTCGTGTCTGTAGAAGAGCACAGGGGACAAAGTGAAGTTCTGTGATACGGCTGTCACAGCTGGATGGGGAGGCTGGGGAGATGGGGAAGGGACAGAGATGGGCAAGGAGTTAGACAGGCGTTGAGAGCAGTCAAGCCCCAAGTACTTATTAAGGTTGATGCAGTACTAAGCCTTTTTTTCTTTACAGATTTATCATCAGGTACATTATAGGATTGAAACAGTGAGGTTAAATTATTGGCTCAATCTTTCACTATTCTTTGACTGTGCTGAGTTACCGTCTTTCAATTTTTAAAAGCAGAGGTAAGAACTTTCAAGGTATTTAACAACCTTTCCTATTCACTGTCAATGATGAGTCAGCCAGAGAAGGCAGGAAGTGGTAAGTACTTTTCTGCCAGTAATTCTAGAGAATGATGTGGTTATTGACAGCAACTTGGAAATGGCATTTTTTTTTTTTTTTAGGTCCCAAGAAGCTTTACATCTGGTTAGAGAGTACAGTAGACTAGAGGGAGATGGCCAGACTTGTGTGTGAGGGAAAAACAACTTGGGGAGTTATTTATGTTTTGGTCCCTGATGTCCACAGTAATCAGACGCACCAGCTACAGACTACACTGGTCAGTGTGGAAAGGGCTGGAAATTAATAAATCACCACATTTTTTTTTGTAATGCCAAGGTAATCCTGGATGTTACCTAGTCATCTACATCAAACCATCACATTCACTTTTCTTCAGTTCACCCTGGGCTCTGGATATTGGTGAAGGTACTTTAGGTAGTCACTGTCCACCGCACCTTATGCCCAGATGACATCTTCCCAAAAGGCTGGTAGAATTTTGAGAATACCAGTAATGCCCTGGCTGAATCCCAGGCCCAAAGAAAATACACAATAGCAAGGCAGTCATAGTTAAACAGCATGATGAAAACTATCACATGCAAGAAAGGATAATATGGTAAACAAGAAAGAAATAACAAAAATAATCATCATCACTAAAATAAAGATAATGAATTTAATGATTTTAACTTCTAGAATTATAATTATAAATAGTTTGAAGATTCTTGGATCACATTCTACCTCTTATTTTTATAAATACAAAAAAATGGAGGTTTATTGAGCGTAAGAGGCTCATATTTCACAAATATAAAGAGTTAATATTTAAACTAAATTATTTCTATTCTGGCTAAGCAGTGGCAGGGCTCTGACAAAATACTTGGGCAAATGTCCCTGCTAAGGTACTTTATTTTCTATATCTCTGTTAGTGACCAGGCTTAGAAACACACTGAGTAGACAGAGGTGGGGCTGTGTAGATGGAGATCTCTCCCCCAGGAATCCAGCCAAGTCCCAGGATGCATTTTAGGGCTAAAGTCTTCTGTACAGTGGTCCACAAGTTTGCTTTATAGCAACTCCAGACTCCCAGATAAAAGAGCATCCCCAATAACCATGTAAAGAGTTCCACAGATAAGGTTAGGCAATTTAGATCTTTGTATTTGGAACTGGATTGGAAATTACTCATGCTTGGTGAATGAGGGGTTAAAGTCAGGGTCATTGAGGCTATTGCCTTCTTCCACAAGCTCCGGTGTAAGTGTGGAGATCTAGTTATAACTCATGACTGGGTAGTAGGACATGTTCAGTAAGATTCGACTCATTTCTATTTTGGTTCAGATGAAATGATGTGAAATAAAATTAATAAAGCATAAAATTACTTTTAAGTTCATGGGATGAAATGAAATTATTTTGGAAATTCTAACTGTATTACTATAAAAATTATATGTATCCTGTGCATGAGACTATAATACTGTGAGGTTTTTAAAAAAGAAAGTGCTAGAAATAAATTTGTTCCCTTGCCGCTTCTTGTGATATCCTTTGTCCTCTAACCACTTCAGTCATTACAAGAGAGTGAATTTATGAAAGCCCAGAATTTCCTGAATGCTTCTGGTATTTACTATATTTATTTCCAAAGCAATTTGCTCTTCTGTTTATTTATTGGCTTAAAGAAGCTCATTGGGTTTTATATGTCTGGTTATGTATTTTATATTCTTTAGTTTAATTTATCACTTGTTTGCAGTCAATCCAACCACAAATGTTTCCTTGGCAGCTCTGAGAAAATTACTATGCTGAGCATTCTAAAGAAATATAAAATATTATCCGTAACCTTTGAGTAGCTAACAGTTAAGTCAGGGAGGCAAGGCACTCACACAAAGAACTGTATATAGGATGGTATGAAATAGACTTGGAGATATGTACATCCATATGTTTTACATGGTAGGAAAAGGAATTACAAAAGAGAGCACAAAAAGGCAGCTGAAAAATTAAGAGGAAAACTTGAATAATATCACATTGGGCTAGCCAAGAAAGAATGGGTTTCTCAGCATTGAGTTATACAGAGATGTCAAGGGAATTGAAGGCTAAGAAACAGGAATTTGTTTTGAGGATTCACACTCTTGGAGAAAGCCATTTAACACATTGGTGAAAATATAAGCCAGGCTCTTAGGGTTTAAGAATTGATGGAGTAGTGAATAAACAGGGACTAATAAATATAAACAACGTTTTCAAGAAATGTATCCAAGAAAGAGAGGAAAGAAAAACTCATGGAGGTAAAAAGATTTTTTTAAAAAGGTATCCTTTTGAAGATAGGAGAAGATGGCTTAATTCAGTATGCCTTTGCAATGAGTTAGAAACCAAAGAGAGAAGAAAAATTGAAGATGCTGGAGAGGAAGCATGATTGATGGTACAGAGCTGCTAAGAATTAGATGCAGGAGACCAAAAGAGGGAGGGACTTTCTCTGAGGCAGAAAAGCAAGAAGAGAATGCAGGAAGAAGCAACTGGATTTTAAGTACAGAGACAGAGGGAAGACGGAGTCTCTCCCAACTTGTATGTGGGACAGACCAAACTCCAAGAGTAGGAATAAGATGTCCTCAGAAACTAAGGAGTACGGGAATGTCTGGAATAGCCACTTATGGGAATCAAGAGAAAATTAAAGGAATTTCTAAATATCAGGGTGAGTCCAACTGAACAGTTCGACAAACATTAATTAAGTACCTCCTATGTACCTAGAATGGAATCTGGTGCTGGAGTTAAAGAGACAAATAAGATTAGTTCAACCATTGCTTTCCTGCAAGGAATTTAGAGTCCACAAGGAAAGTAGTAAATGTCAGAACAGAAGTATTCAAAGGATGCTATGGGACCACGGAGGTAAGGAAACTACACCAGCTAGGCAGGTGGAGGTAGGCGGAGGTGAGAAAGAGAGGAAAGTTGGGACAAAAAAGGTACTAGCAGAGATACTTTCTGAATTGGGTTCTGAGGGATAACTAACTCCTATTAATGTGTGGGAAAAGGTGTGGTGGAAAAAAGCAAAAAGTATTCTCTCTAGGTGAAAAAGAATGAGCAAGGGTATAGAGATAGAGTATCTCAGGATGTGTGCACTATGAAGCAGAAAACATCATTGCTCACATCCAGAAGATGTGTAGTGTCACATCAGTTTGAGTATTTTCCTGTAGATAATTTATAAACACTGAAAGGTTGCAGGCAGGGACAGAGGCACGGGGAGGAACAGAGGCATGGCATATTTAGAATGGAGTTTTACATAGTTTATTCTGGCAGCCATGTAGAATAAGTGGGATTTGGCAAAAGGTAATGATAATGTAAGCAGGGGATATAATTGGAAAATACTAAGTAGACAGCATGGGCAGAAATTGTTGATGGGTTAATGTGGGAGGCTGAAAGAAAAGAAGGCTATAAAAATTACTTCCAGGTTTCTGGGTGGATGAAGCAATAATTAACCAAGATAATGAAGACAAAAGGAATAGGCTACCGGTAAAAATGGTCAAAGGCACAGGGCAAGAGAGAGGAAATACACAGTGTAGAGATCAGAACATCTTTGGAAGAAGAGGGTGCTCATGACAGCAGAGCACTGGCAAGGGCTTGTCATGGACTCCAAGCTAGGTTAGGAGTTAATGTCATAAGTGACTAACAAATGGGTGTGAAAGAGAAATGAGATTAGGGTAAAGTCTAGTACTTATTGGGTAAGAGAGAGGACAGAATTGACAGGAGAGGAGGATGAGCTCCAAGAAAAAGAGGTCTGAGAGGAACCAAGACGGTGGCATAGGTAAACACGGGTACTTACCTCCTCCCACAAACACATCAAAATTACAACTAAAATACAGAACAACCATCATTGAGAACTGCCTGAAATCTGGCTGAATGGAAGCCCTACAACTAGAGAATTCAAGAAGAAACCACATTGAGACTGGTAGGAGGGGTGGAATGGGCTGGTCCAACACCCACGTGTAGTGTGTTTTTAATCAGGAGGGGTATCTTGGCTGTGGAGATCCCCTGTGAGGGGCAAGGAGTCCAGCCCCACACCAGAACCATCATCCCAGGGTCCCAGTGCTGGGAAGAGAAATCTCTATAACTCCCGGCTATAAAAACCAGTGGGGATTATGGCTGAGTGACAGAGGCAGCTGGAGAACCAGGCAGTTCCTCTTAAAGGGCCCACACATGGACTTACTCAGACTCACTCCCTCTGAGATCCAGTGCTGGGGCAGCAGCTTGAAAAGATTCAGAGACATACAGGAGGAACTAAATTGTCTGGCACCAGAGCAAGAACTGGGGGGTAGCTTTCTCCCAGACAAAAATGCTGGCAGAGGTCACTGTTCCTCTGCTGAGACCTCCCCCACCACAGAGCCAACTGGCAGGCACCATATCTGAGTCTCCATCAACCTGACCCACACTGTTTACCCTGCCCTGGTGATTCCCTGAGACCCCACCAAACCCAATTTGCAGCCCCACCCAAGCAGTTTGCAGTGGCTTTTCCATGTGAATGGACTGTCCTGGCTCAGGCTTCAGACTTTCCTAAAATCTCTCAAACAAGCAGCAGCTGGCCTCAGCATGCTTCATACCTCTCAATAAGTGGCCTNGTGGCTTTTCCATGTGAATGGACTGTCCTGGCTCAGGCTTCAGACTTTCCTAAAATCTCTCAAACAAGCAGCAGCTGGCCTCAGCATGCCTCATACCTCTCAATAAGTGGCCCNCAGGCTTCAGACTTTCCTAAAATCTCTCAAACAAGCAGCAGCTGGCCTCAGCATGCTTCATACCTCTCAATAAGTGGCCCTAGGCCTGGAACTAGCAGCAGCTTGCCAAGTTTCACAGCTGGGCCTTTCCTGGGCACCCCTAAGACCAACACAAGTAGCAGCCATCTGCAGATCACTTTGTAGTTCGTGCTGGGTGGTTCCAGGCAGGGCGCAGGCAGTAGCTAATTTTGCACCTCCTGGGAGGCCCCAGAGACAGTGCACCCCAGTGGTCAGCTTCGACCATGCCAGATTACAACCCTACCACATCCACCAGCGACACACTTAAGGGACAGACCTGGTGAGCACCAAAGCCCCACTGAAGCAAGTCCTGCTTCATAGGGGCATCTCCTGCACATCAGCTCTTCCACTGTAGTTGCAGCTGGTCCTCAAAGCTGATTGGCCTAGGGGTAATTTCCTCCAGTGACACCAATAATGATCAAGGCTCAACTACAACAGGACAGTGCACACAGACCACACAGGGGAGCACATAGAGTGCCCAGCTCAGGTGACTGGGGAGGCTGAGCCACTGGACCCTACAGGACACCTACTATACAAGGCCACTCTACCAATTTCAGGAAACATAGCAGTTCTACCTAATACATAGAAATAAACACAGGGAAGCAGCCAAAATGTGGAGACAAAGAAACGTCACAAACGAAAGAAGAGAATAAATCTCCAGAAAAGGAACTAAATGAAATGGAAACAAGCAAACTACCAAAGAGTTCAAAACAATGGTTATAAGGATACTTAAGGAACTTAATGAGAACTTCAAGAAGCTTAGTGAGAACTTCAAGGAACTTAGTGAGAATTTCAAGAAACTCAGTGAGATCAACAACATGAAAAAGGACCAGTCAGAAATGGAGGATACACTAACTGAAATAAAGAATAATTTACAGGGAATCAACAGTAGAGTAGAGGACACTGAGAATCCAATCAGCAATTGGAATATGAGGAAGCAAAAAATACCTAGTCAGACAGCAAAAGAAAAAAGAATCCCAAAATACGAAGATAATGTAAGGAGCCTCTGGGGCAACTTCAAGCATATCAACAGTCACATCATGGGGGTGCTGGAAGTTGAAGGAAGGGGGCAAGAAATTAAAAACCCAGTTGAAAAATAATGACAGAAAGCTTCCCCTACCTGGTGAAAGAAATAGACATACAAGTCCAGGAAGCGCAGAGAGTCCCAAACAAGATGAATCCAAAGAGGCCCACACCAAGACACATAATTAAAATGCCAAAGGTTAAAGACAAAGAAAGAATCTTAAAAGCAGCAAGAAAAGTTAGTTACTACACGGGAGTGCCCTTACGACTGTCAGCTGATTTCTCAACAAAACTTTGCAGGCCAGAAGGGAGTGGCAAGAAATATTCAAAGTGATGAAAAGCAAAGACCTACAACCAAGATTACTCTGCCCAACAAAACTATCATTTAGAATTGAAGGTCAGATAAAGAGCTTTACAGACAAGAAAAAGCTAAAATAGTTTACCACCACCAAACCAGTATCATGTAAAGTGTTGAAGGGCCTTCTTTAAGAAGAAGAAAAAAAATATGAACAATAAAATGGCAATAAATACATATCTATCAAGAATTGAATCTAAAAATTAAAATAAACAAAGAAGGAATCTAATGAACAAAACAAACTGATGAATAAAATAGAACCAGAGGCATGGAAACATGGAACAGACTGATGAATCTCCGAGGGTAGGGGACAAGGGTGGCAGGAAGAGATTAACCAAAGAACTTACACGCATATATGCATTACCCATGGACACAGATAATAGAGTGGGGAAGGCCTGGGGCAAGGCTGGAGCCAGGTGGAGGGGGGCAATGAGGGTAAAAAAAGGGAGGACATCTGCAGTTCTCAACAATAAAGATTTAAAAAAAGAAAGAAAAAGAAAAAGAGATCTGACACTGAGTCCTTACTGGGGTGGAGAATTTCACATGAAGATTGTAGTTATTGAATGGACAGTGAATAGTGTAGGAAGGTGTAAAAATATGAAGTGGGTGTGTCAGATGGTGATGGTGGATATTGAAGTTACCAAGAACGATGGGAGGAGAGCAGAGGGAGAAGAGAAAAAGTGATTCTAGCACAGAAATAAAGGAATGGGGATTTTTAAAAGATAAAGAATGGACTGAGTTGTGTGTGGAGAGCAATGAACCATTTAATTCCCTATAGAGTAGAAGAGAATTGAAGCTTCCATTAAAGAGGGATGCAGGAGACATGATATCATCTTAACTGCTATCCAAGATTGAAATCCTTATCCCCCTTCATTTGCCTTCTTGTATCTCCCACTTGTACCATTTCTATTATTTTTCTACTCTATTTTAAGAGATGTCATCAACTTTTTCCTTCATTCAACTTTCATTTTTAAAGAATTACAAAGCACCTTAACTATGTACTTATAATGGGCATATCTTTTCATCTACAGGGCCAAACAATCTTGCTCTTATTTTCAGTTGGACTCTTCATTTATTTCATTCCTATAACCACACACCTAGACCAGATTCTTACCACCTCTCCACTGCAAAAGTGAAATTTTACAGGCTCTCCCTCTATCCAGTCTATTTCCTTTCCCCAAAATATCCCACATTCTGTCACAAGCAATTTTCCCCAATTACTGCTTTAATCGTTGTCATGTCCTACTCAAGAATGTGACTGTGACTCTTTGCTGGTGACTTCTCGAAGTCACGTTCCTCTTGCCTGGCTTCCTATGTCCTCCAAGATCTGTCTTTGACTCTTCATCCTGATTTTATCAGGGACCCACTGATCTACCTACACTGATCTTCTCATAGTCCTTTGTCCATTCATATTTTTGCTCAAGCCCAGTTTTGTTTTTGTTTTTTTCCTCCTAGAGATTACTCCCTCTTCTTTGCAAATCTCAACACTGCCTATCCTTCAGTGCCTCCCATGTGTAATTTTCTGGAATGAAGGTAACCCATTGGTTAACCTGTATTTATATGGTTTAGGATTTAATTCTTGTACTGTTTAATCTGAACCACTGCTCCAATTTGGGTTTAGGATCCCTGAGTAAGAACTTACGTTTGGGTTTTCGGAATCTTTCAGAAAACAATTTCTTATATGTAATAATAAACATTCTTAACTGAATGATATCTTATACTTCTCGTGATCAATAAGGAATTTTAGGGATGAGTTATTCCATAATATTGCTTGTTAAAAATTATGGTTTTTTGATACAGAAAAATTTAGAGAGGGGGTCTCAATTTGGGCCTAGTATAAAAAAATTTAAATACTACAAAATTTTATTTAAAAAAAATCTTCCTGGGCTTGTGTAACTATTGTTTGTGAAATATCATTGTTTTTGGTCCACCTGAACTTGCTTTCTCATTCTCATATGGAACAAATTGAAGTTCCATAGCAGTAGGATGGATATCCATGGATTTTTTTCTCAAAGTAGTGATCTTTAAACCATTTACCAGGAACACTTGCATTCAGATGGAGGACTTTCTTCAATTTACATTTGGCCACGTTATGAACTCATAGGGGAAGTATATTTTATCTTACTCAAGGAATTAAACAGTATTGGTATTATAATTTAGTCCAGTACTCTCACTTTTGATGCAAAATCACTATCATTTGGCTGACTCAAAAATAGTATAATAACATGTTCTCTATATCTGGAGCCACCAGGGATAAAAGAAAAGTTCAGATTATACTGCTACTTCTTAAGGAGCTTTTCTTCTCCTTCTTTTAAAAGGTTTATTATGGAAAATTTCAAAGATATACAAAGTTGAGCAAATACTGTAATCAATTTCCCAGTAGCTATCATCCAGCTTCAACAATTTCCAATCCATGGCCACTCCCCTAACATACCCAATCCACTCCCCCACCCTGTGCCAATGGGTTATTTCAAACAAATTCCTGGTATTATTTTATTATAAACACTTGAGTATGTATTTTAAAGATCAGGGCCCTTTAAAAATATAACTACAATATCACCATGCCTAAAGTCCCAATAGCATTAAATATCTGGTGAGTGTCCCATTTTACATGATTACCCCATAATATGTTTTTTCCATTCTATTTGTTTGAATCTGAACCCAAAGGAATTGTATGTGTGAAGCAAAAACCCCAAAAGCACCAAAATTCTGTAAATTAAAACTTGTTTCTTGGTAGTAAAACCAATTTAGAAAATAATTAAATCAGTTTAGTATCAGTAAGTTCACATATCCATTCTGAGGTTTAGAATTTTATGAGTAGTAGCATTTAATTCCTTTAAATTGCACTTTGACCACAGAATATAAATGCAATAGGAGGAACTGACAGGCCGTCACAGGCACCAAGCACACACTCATGAATGTAACTTCTGTGACCAATGTTTGTTACATGGAACTGAAACTCTTTAGCAATGCATTTTCCTCCCTTGTTCCTAAAAGGATTTGAAGTAACTAACTTGAAGCCATTAATATTTTGCCACTAGCGTTATGGAAAATATTTATTGCTCTCATATTTATTTTGTATTCTACTGATAATGTGATAGGTTGTTATATCACATCATTTACACACAGACAGTGTTGAGGCACATAAACAGAGCCTTTTGAATGTACATTAAATTCCCAAACTAAAATAAAGACAGGCTATAAGAGCACTGGATGTATGAGTCCACACAATTAAATAACTAATGCTATAAATGTTTTATATTTTTATGATTCTCTCACCCAGATAGTGTGTTTTCAACTAATGTTTGAGCACCACTGAAAGTTTTAAGAACGTTCCTTGGGCTTCCATTTTCTCCTAATTCTTTTCTATGCTTTACAAAAGTCCAATGAATTGCACAACAGGAGAGGGACATGCCCTCCTCACCCCCAACAGGAAGAAGAAATGTCACTTGCCACTCATTTCCAAGAAGTATCTTGCGTTCATTAGCATTCGGCCTTGAGGTTTCAGCTCTAACTGGTTGAGAGAAGGAAAGGAATATTAATCAGAATGTGAAACAATGCTGAGGTTAATATCATAACTGATGAGTTTGGTGATAGCAGATTTCCTAAGTAGAATCTAAGCATTGCTCCCTTTCATTTTACTCATACATATTATCATAATAGTGCAGCATCCATGCATATAGCCTTTCTTTTATGAAGACACCTCAGCAACTCATTAATTTTACCTGGAGATCAAAACTTCCATAAGAAACAAAATTCCCAAACAGATTCTATTGATTTTCTTGCCCCGCACTGCTGCTTATCTGAGGAGTTGCAAAGGGGCAGATTCAGATCTTAAATATGACAAAAGGATCACAGATCCTGGGACTAACTCACATGGGGAACAAGTAGGTCTTTGGAAGGAAAGATAAGTCCTTTACTGAGGGTGCCTCCACACACATGACTAGGCTAATCAAGGTATGGAATGGGAGTGGCCTTTTCTTGCACAAGGAGAGACTTTTTCCTTGGGAAAGTGCTGGATAATCTAAGGGAAATTTTAATTCAATTGGTTCAAGAAAGGATAAAATAATATATTTCAGTACCATTATGTAGAAGGGACTAGAACAAAGTGGCATTTTAAGGCGTGATGCCGGATATCTCGTGATATGACATAATGGAAAAAATGTCAAATCCAAGATAACCTGACAATCACTGCTAATATGCTAAACCATAACACTATATTGTTAATATGCCAAAAAGAATATGAAGGTGAGTTAAAGGTCATTATTGATAATTACATCCATGAGTTAACTAGAATAACTGGGAAATAGTAAGAAGTGTCTGGTTGAAGCCAGGATTGAATTTGAATTGTGGCTAAATAATTTACTGGCTGTGTGACCTTGTGCAAGTCACTAAACCTTCAGAGATCTCTGAAGAACTGATACTTATGTAACAGCATCACTATTATTAGAATTTTATGGTAAAATAAGCCTGTGCTGCTTGGTCAACTATAGATTCTCCTGCAAGCTTAAATAGATTAATGAAAAGAGAATGCTTTTGCCATCAAATATATACACCACTGTTCTCTGGTTTGTGGAATATGTAATAAAGATGGGCACAAAGATGGAGCTAGAGGAGCAGGAGACAAAGGGCTCATCTCAAAGGGGAGAAGATTGGTACTAGGTGACCAGAGTGATCAATAGTCAGGACTTAGTGGTGATGGAGGCAGTTAAATCTGTTAGCTGCTGGCAAAACAGTGTCCATAAAAGTCATAGTTCATCCCATTTCTGAGAGCGAATAATAGGTAACTGCACAATGGGCAAAACCCTTGGGAAAGCAAGAGGCAAGCCTCCATGGGGGGTTTAGAAATTGGATAATGTGTCTGTGGGGGTGAAAGGTAGCTTTGAGAAAATAATTTTTTTTAAATAGAGAAGTTAATTTTAAGAAAGCAGAATTCAGTAGGCGCATGGGAAAATATAAGTCTAAACCAACCTGTTGGCCCTTAAACACTGTAAATAAAAGTCAACCAAGAAATAGCCTTAAGCCCGGTGAGGCGTGGCTCAGAGGTTGAGTGTTGACCTATGATCCAGGAGATCATGGTTCAATGCCTGGGTCGTGGGCT